ACGTGTATTAGAATGTTTACTACGTGTTAGCAGTATTTCTTATGAATAAGATGCTGCTAGGGAAAGGTGGTGATGAAGACAGTCAAACACCTACCATCTGTTTTAAAAGGTTCCTTCAAGACCTCCCAATAACAGTATTTTGTGCATCCCAAAGAGAGAGAGATTCATTCTTTCTGAGATAGTCTTCTTAGACTACTCCAAATATTAAACACTTCAAAAAGATTACTGTATCTCAAGTTTAGGATGAATTCATATTTAAATAAGTTGTCCTCTAATTGTAACTGAAATAAGTACATCTGTAGTCTTAGTAAAAACCGTGAAAGTATAACCACAGTATAAAAGTGAAGACAATATTTGCTCTAGGCTAATATTCTTTATAAAGAAAAATATTTGCTTCAGAAATGTAAATGCACAGAAATGACCTAGATTCAAGAATTTATTGTGTGCCTTTTTACAACTAGCTAATATAAAAAGTAAAATAAGCAATTCATCAGTAAGGTAAATTTAATATATTAATCTCTGGAAACCTCTATTACAAATCACCTTTTATGTTATAAAGATGTATATGACAAGATTTTATTCTCAATGATACAGCTAGAAATACATGTCCCTATCATCAAGTGAAGTATTTAGATTTCTTTACTCAGAAAAGGGGGAGAGAGAAAGGAATCCCTTATTTTCTTCATTTCATCTGTTTTTGCTAAATGAAAAAGCAATAAAGATTCAGATACTAAACACAGGGACAATGTAAAGTCACAAGTAACCTCTAGGCACACAGAGAACAGTTACTTTCTAGCTTACATTGTAGGAAATAGTATCTATTTGTTTCATTCATTCAACAAGTATTACTGAGCACCCACAATGTACCAAGAACTGTGCTCAGCACCTACAGAATTATTAACAAGATTAACTTGGTTCTTGATCTGCAAGAGTTTATAATCTATTACTTGTTAGGAAAATAGCAAATCAGAAAAAATAAAGGAGGAAAATGTCACTAAGTGCCAAAATAAAATGGTAAAAACTCCAAGCATATCAAATAGGTGTTAAATAACTTAGAAAGTAAACATTGTTCAAAATTATTTCTGAGGAAATAATTTAGGCAAGCAAAGATGTCATGGTGGCAGTGATCTTGAAAGCAAGAGGGCAAATACAGCAGCATAAGCTTAAAAAGTCAAGAGCCAATCATTTAAGGCACCATGAAAAGATTAGTACGAAAACATGCATCACTCTTTGCTTTGGCATGTATTACAGAAGATCTTTGAAACTTAAGCTGTGGAATTTAACTTATTAGACCACAGATATAAAAAAAAACAATGGAGTTTATTGAACAAAGAAATACATTTTACTTTATATTTCTTGATAGGAGATGGCAACCTTGAAGTAAGAAAACCAGCTCAAAAACAGTTGAGTATCCCAGGGATGGGAATGGGACAACCTGGGCTGTTAAAGATCTGTTAGTCTAGTCTGTCTTACTTAGCATTAAAATAAAATCAAATTCATTTGTAAAATGTAATTACTCACTGTATACTGTCAAAAATTCACACCCCCAACTTAAATAATTAATTACAAAGAATTTTATTTCTGTATCAATCCAAGAAAGTTGATACCACAAGCTGTTCAATCTGGAAGGAAGCTCAAGACTTAATTTTATTCTTTCCATAAAAGAGGAGAAAAAAAAAAAAACATTCAAGGAAGAGTGAATCAGCTAAGAGGACTCTGTTGGGTACAGTCAAAACTCAGTCTATAAATATAGCATAATTTAATGTTCTTGGTGATTGGAAAGCATATACAAAAAGGAAAAAGAAAGAAAAAGGACAAGAAAACACTTTGAAGACAAAACATGCTTCATTCTGAATGGATATGGAGGAAGACAGCCTTATATATGATTGTATTTTGACAGAAATTTCTGCTGGAAAGTATTTAATATTGTTACTTAGCAGAAAAAAAAATCAGTAAATTCTTAAAAAAAAAAAGGAGAGAGAGAGATCACTCCAAAAGTTACATAACTATTTAAAGTTTATTTATTAGTTAGTCCCTTCTAGCAATATAATATAATTCTGTTATTGACAAGTATGACTTTCCCAGAAAGTCGGGTGCATCAGGAGGTACTTTAATCTATATTATAGGTAGCTGAGATAAATTTGAAAGATATTATGATTGTTACATTTGCTATTTCTAGGTATTTACTAATAGACTCAGCCTGAACTGGAGAAAATAACACTCTAGTTTATTTTCTGAGGGGAGAAAGCCCTGAACATACCACTTCTTAAAGTGACTAGCTGCATTTCAATTTTGTAAAACCTGTTTACCCTAGATCACTACTGTCTAGTCTTCATGTTGTTTAATAAACAAGCACTAAAATTTCTTGTTATATTCAGTAACATTTCAAAGACCACAGTCATTCAGCAAGTACAGACTGCTTCCTATTTTAGTCTACAGCTGGTCTAAGCAAGCTAACTTAGACGTAGTTAACATAGTGGATACCTGACAAAAGACTGACCTGTTCCGGGACCTTGGCACACATCAAAATCTAGATGGTAAGCCCCTTGCATAACAAAATGTCATAATATATGCACATAACCTATGGACATCCTGTGTAGTTTAAATAATCTCTAGATTACTTATAATACCTAATATATGCTCTATACATAGGTAAGTAAATAGTTGTTTCATGTGTTGAATAGGGAATACAACAAGGCAATGTCTGTCTGTGTTCTGGAAAAATACGCACTACAGTTAGCTGAAACAATGGACGCGGAACCCTGTAGTCAACTATTTTTGAAGATTATACAGCTTCCAGTCCCAAAATCTAAAAAGTTAATAAACTTTTAAAAAGATAGATGACAAAACCATATATCCATGGACATGAATGATACAGGCACCTTACTTCTCAATTATCTTCATTATAATTACTGTTCATTAATAACTCTGAGCATATGCTAACAGAAGAAATGTAGGAAAATGATCAGTTTGTCATTCAGAGAAAGGTCACAGAGCTTTAAAAAGGAGCCCTAGAGTCCTTAAGGATTCAGCTTATCATGCTTTCCCGGTTTCATAAAACTGAAAAAAGGTTAACTAGTTTCACCAAATGTTAGGAACCATATTTGTTAGGTAAGAAGTGGAGTAGGTACTAGAAAATGATCTTGAGAAAGCAATAGCTATTCCTTTGAGACTTTCAGAGCTAGTACACTAAAGTATTCATTCATCACCCTCAAGGGACCAACAGAGGAAGAAAGAATTCTAAACATTTAAATAATCAGGTATACTTAAAGGTGCATAAACATATTAGACTAGAAAAAAAAAGTAGCAGAAAACCATGAAGCAAAATTTGGAATATCTAAAGTATATAAGTAACAAGTAAACTTATTAGGGAGGCAGTCACTGGCACAGCTAAAGAGAAGGGGGCCATAAAACAAACTATGACCAGCTTATGCCAATTACTCCAAAAACAAAAAAACTGCATTGTTCTGAAAATGACTAGCTGGCATCTCAGGTTTGCTAGTGCAAGAGCACCATTACAGCAAGGGTAAGCAGGTCAACCCCTTGCAAAACTTACCTTGACTGGCCCAATGGAAACAGAAGGCCCCAGAAAAGAGAGAAGCATCTGGCAGTAGCAAATTGTTTTATTTTATCTTTCTGTGGAAAGAAACTAATTTTAAATAAGAACCAGAGCATTTAAAGAATAAATATTTTTTAAAAGCTCATTACTTAGTTAGAGCAGCTCTACCAAGAAAACAAGAAGAGCTTTGTGCTGCTTAGAGATGAAAGGTACAGAAGGGGAATTAAGAGTTGTCTCTGCATCTCCTAGGGAGTGTAAAGTACTGTTATTCTAGAGTAACAGAGCAAAAGAATCTTTTATATAAGGAACTCCTGTAGGCAGTATCTTTTCAGTCTGGTGCCTTTGAAAAAAAATTTTTATACAAAATTAAGGGCTATATTCCAAATATAAAAGAAAACCACTTGAGCCATTCTACTCTTAAAAGAGAAGAGAAACACAACAAGCTCCTGTTTCCACTGCAATTTCACCAGTAACTTTAGTCTTCATTGCTTAAACTATTATCAAAGTCAACAGCACTCATTAGCAAAAGAAAACATACAACAGGCTTTCAAAATTATTTTGTTAATCAGTTTTTCATGACTTATCAAGACATTCAAATGGAATAACCCAACCTGCCCAAGAATCTGTGTATTATAAAACCTTCCATAGGACACACTGTTCATGAAACCGAAGCTCTTGCCTTTCTTGAACACTTCTAACTTAGAAATAGAAATTTTGTCTACCAGAGTCACTGAGTCAGCTAAAATCTTTTGATCCACATCACTCCTACAAAATGTCCATTTACAGTTTGTGCTAGAGATGCAAGGGGCAACTCACAAGTAGGAGTGCAGAAATGTAGGTAGAAAACGAGCTACCTATTTGGCACTGTCCAGGGAAGAATTAGTAACAGAGCATAAAAATCCCTCCATACCCAACAAGAGGAAGATATTCCAAGAACAAAATTCATTCTAAAATCAATATCCCCGGTAATTACTATTTTTCTGATGCTACTATGCATTTACACAGTTTGACAAAATTAACCTAGACCATTAACAATCAACATGTCTGGAAAAAGTCACTAAATTAAAGAGCCTAGATATATAATATCACTTTAAAGATTTTTTTGAGACAGGGTTTCTCTGTGTCACCTTGGCTGCCCTGGAACTCTCGCTGTAGACAACGATGGATCTGCCTCTGCCTCCGAAGTGCTGGGATTAAAGGTGTGCGCCACCACGCCCAGTTTAAAGACACTTTTAATATTTTTTGTTGAGGAAGTGAGTAAATCTTTTATACAAGTCTTACTATATTTAAAATTTGTTACAGTTATGATCACTATTTTGTCTTGTTTGTAAACATGTGGATATAAACTAATCCTTAAACAGTTAAAAGTACAACACTGGCCTACATTTAAAAATCTTGACACAATACAAGAAAAACAAACAAAGTAGAAGCATATTCTTACTTGTCCCATTGGAGGTCCCCCCATAGGGGGCATCATCTGTGGCATCATTCCATGAGGTACAGGAGGCATGTTTGCTCTCTGACCCATTGGGTGCATTCCCATTGGTGCATAATGCATGCCAGGATGCCCCATCTGAAAAGCAATGAAAAACGAAAAGTGAGCAAGACACAGTGAATATTTCTTTAAAAATGTGACTAAAAAAAAATCAATTAATACGTAAGACACAATGTTAAGTCAATGTGTGGTTAAATTACTAGATTAGCATCTACTAATATTAACCTTAAAATACACTACAGTGACTATTTTAAGGAGCCTGAAAACTAACAAAACAGGTAAAAGTTAAATCCATTATAGGATTACAGTCCCGCAGCGGCCCCCGGCTCCCCCCACCCCGTGATTTAGTCAACTGCTAAATGACTGTCTACACTTGGTGTCTATGTATTAAACTCCAACTTAAAAGCTGTTAGTGTGAACACAACTTTGTCCCCTTTATACATATAACCAGGTTATAATACTTAAAATTAGATTAATTTGGATGAGGTTTTGTCATAAAACAGGATGTGGGTACCCAAGTGTATTTCATTAAGAAACAAATATACTAGTTCCTAAGTCAAATATGTTAACATAGTTAAAATATCAAAGACTGCCAATCTGTCCCAGAAACTAAATGCAAATGACAAACTGATCCGTTTAGAAAACTTAAAATATTATATATCTGTACGTATATATACACATATATACGTTCATTGTTCCTGGCCCGAAACTTAAGTATCCGCTGCCAACTCCCCGAACAGAATCCCCACCCCCTGCAAACCACCCGCACCCCTCTCCGGAGAAAGCAAACAACGGCAGCTTCTCCATAAAGTCTTGCAGACTTTAGGTTCCCCACTATAAAAGCGGCCTAGGGCTCTCGGCTGCACGGCGCGCCCGGGGCCCAGCACCTTCCTAAGGTGTCGGTCTAGGCCAAGGTCCCACATCCGTCTTTGTGCACTCCCGCCCTCCATCCGTCTCCCTTGGGACGTAGCCCACCATCTGGAGCTCTTCCTGGTACACTCTTCTCCTTTCGGAGAAGGCTTCCTGTTTCTCTGACTCGGTTTTTCATTGTGCCGCTTTCCCCTACCCGACCGATCCCTTACCGAGGGCCGTCTCCTCAGGAAGCCGTCAGCAGAGACCCAAGAACTGGAGCACAGGTTTGAGCCGGACAATCTCCGCTCCCCGTCCCCGGGACCCCGCGAGGGAGGTTGGCTCTCCATTTCACTCACCATGAGGCCTCCACGCTCGGCTCCAGTCCCCGGCCTCATCGTCGGGCTCAGACTGCTCCGTCGGCGGCCACTGCCGCTACACATACCAACAAGAAGCGATCTGAGTGGCTGGCGCCCGCCGGGGCCAAAGGGTAAAGGCTGCCCTGAGCTACGGGGCGGGAGCAGCGGGGCCAATAAACTGACAGGCTTCCCAGCTGTCCAATCAGAGCGCGCGACGGACACGCAGCTCGGCGCCGATTCGCCCCCAGCCTCCGCCTCGCTCGGCGTCGCCTGCATGGAGAGGGGGAGGGGGGGACGGAGGAAGTTTCTGCGTCGAGTGCTCAAGCCGGGAAAACTCCAACTTCCCCCGGGAAGGGGGACGACAGGGCCGGGACCCAGCTTCCCGGGCTTGAGCCACCTCACCCCGCCGGGGGTGGGGCTGTGGCGTGCCGCCACCTTCGCCACCCACTTCCCCCCCCTGCCCTAGTTACGTTCTCCCCACAAACCTGAGGCCACCAGGGGTGGGGTGGGGTGGGGGCGGGGCAAGCGGGCCCCCAGCGTTATCGGCCTAGTGCGCGCGCACGCGCGCGGTGGGCGTGGGGACAGGGGGGGCGGTGCTCGGGCTCTGCGCGCGCCCGAGCGGAGGGAGGAGGCGGTACTCTAGCGGGCGGGTCAATCTGCGGAGGCGGAGATTACACGCCAGAGCGGGAAAGCGATTGGCAGTTAGGGAGCCGCGGAGCCGAGCCGAGCTGAGCGGGGAGCTGGGGTGGCGGGGGACCGGAGGGGCGGACGAAGTGAGGCTGCGCGTGTGGGTGGCGGTGGGCCCCGGGCGCGCGCCCCGACCGCGCACCCGGAAGAGGAACCCGCAATTGTCCGCCCGCCGCTGGCGCGCGCGCCCCGGCCCCCACAGTGCCGCGCGCGTTGGTCGGGCCCGCCGACAGCCGCCGCTGATTGGCTGTTGCCGGGGTAGGGCGGGGCCCCCGGCGGACGCCCGACCGGCGCGGGGTTCTCAGTCTTTCCCGCCATGTCCTTCGTAGAGAGTGCGAGGTCGCGACGGCGCCGCCAGGTCACCCCAGGCCCGGTGACTCGGCGTGTGTATTCCGACTTCACCCACGGGGATGGCTGGGGGGTGGGAGAAGTCGACGAAGACGAGGGATGCGACCAAGTGGCCCGCGATTTGCGAGCGGAGTTCTCAGCCGGGGCGGTGTGGGAGCCCAAGAGGGCCCCGCTACTCCCGCCGGTCGGGGACGGGTCACCCGTCCTGCCCGAGAAGCGCAACGGCATCTTCCCGGCGACTGCGGCCACCAGAAGCCAGGCTCGGCGGTGGCCTGTCCAGGTCCTTTCCATTCTCTGTTCGCTGCTCTTCGCCGGCCTCCTTGCTTTCCTCCTGGCCATCGCCTACCTGATCGTTAAAGGTACTGACTGAAGCCCAGGCCTTCTAAGTCTGTGCACAGTAAAGGCGAGCCAGTCCATCCCTCGCCCCCATTCACACTGAACTCCCCAAAGCTTTCCTTCGGGACTGTACCCTTCTTCGCTCTCCCTCCCTTTGTCTTCTCTCCATAGATGGAGGTCCCTGCCCCATAGTGAGAACCATTTAGAAAGGATTTGACTAAATCCACGCTCTATAAAGAAACGTCGTAAAGGCATTGAACACGAGTTGAAACATCAGCACGGCTACTTAATCAGAGTCCCTACCTTGAAAAGGTTCATGAAAAAGTTCATGTAACTGTAGGCTGTATATATTCTAAGGCTGATTCACAAATGAGCATACAGAAATTGAAGAACAAGGATTCCTTCCCCGCATCCCAAATTTCTACTTTTATAGGCAAAGTAGATTGTCTGTTTTGTGTTTCTAACGAGGTAGAGTTATTGCTAGATAGAGTCTATTCTTCTGCTGTGTCAGAGATTGACTGGCCAAATGGGAATGCTCCGAAAGACACTCTTCAGCCCCTCCCCCATTCGGATTTGTTGTATGATTGAATTTAGATCTAATAGTGTTGACTTTTGTCAATTTATCGAGAAATAGAAACCTCAGAACAGTATCTTGTATTAAAAGTATTCAACACTTAGTGTTTTAGTGTTACCTTTACGGATAAAAATTAAATCTATTTTACCCCAGTTTTGCTTTTTTTTCTCCCAGCCCCTAATGGGATCCAGGTAGCCCTTGAACAGGTTACCCTAGTTAGATTGACTTTTGCAGAGAAGCCAGACAGGTTACTTCTTCACAATATATTGTTGGCTGTTAACCGTGGGCCTTAAAAATTTGACTGCCACCACCGGGAGGGAGGTGGTGGCTCACACCTTTAAGCCCAGCACTTGGGAGGTAGAGGCAGGTGGATCTCAGTGAGTTCCAGGACAGCCTGTCTTGAAAAACCAAAAAAGAAAGAAGAAAAAAAAATTGACTTCCCCTGCTTCAAATCTCTGTTACACCCTTGGACTGTTTTTTTTTTCACTTCAACCCAGATAGTTTTGTCGTGCACACAGTTTATTTTTCTTATGCCCGTAATTAGAAGTTCATTGCAGACGACATTTGTATTTGGAGACTGGAACAAAGAACTGAAGTCACAGTCTACTATGCTCTTAAGTTTCTTTTGTACAAATTGTCTTCCCATGTTTATGACCATTGTAAAGGTATTTGCTTGCTGAAGGTAATATAGGTAGGAAATCAGAAGTCGAATCTAGCTCTGACTTCAGGGTACTTTTGACAGTTGAACAGAGTCTTTGGAGCCTTTACATAGTCATGTCAAGAAGCAATAACACTATTCTACCTAAACCTCTCTTTGTATTTACAGAATTGCATGCAGAAAATTTGAAAAATGAAGATGATGCAGATACTGGACTGTTAGGTATGAACTGATCATTTTATTCATCCAATCATTTATTTTTTCTTTTCCAAATATATTTAAGTAATAAAGGCTTTGGGATAAAACATTTTATATATACCATGTGTAGTTGACTCATTAGTGTTTTTTCAGGTGTATATGTTTGTGGTAAATGTTTTAGATATACGTTTTGGATAGATATTTAGACATTTTCCATAATTTTATAATGGGTCACTAAGGTGTGTGTTCAGAATTCAATATAACTGAGCATTACTTGGGTCCATTGAATACTTAAGTAATTTCTAATTATGTTTTGGAAGAAACTTCCTATACTCCTTCAGGAATTTAGAACTAGAAATTTAGCCAACATACAATATCGTTTCTGTTGAAGTCTTTCATTTGCCTAACTGGCCCAACTAGCAGTGTCCAGGACACTATTTCAATTCTTCAAAGTATAAGCTGAAGTCTGACCCTAAAAGAAATAAAAGATGGCACCAAATGTGGAATGCAAAATCTATTTAAGAGCCAGGTTGTCATGGCATAAACCTTTAATTCCAGCACTCAGGAGTCAAAGGCTATGTTTCCTTTGGTCTTTTGATGAAAAATTGATTATATTTTCATGCTTGTGTACTTGGCTTTTCCTCTCCATCAACTTTATCCTTTCCCAAATATCATACATCTTCTCCATTGCTGTAGATGTGTTGTAAGTATAGAAGTCACGCTATGTCAATGACTAAAATATTTTGTATGCGCCGGCTGGTGGTGGCACAGGCCTTTAATCCCAGCACTAGGGATTAAAAAAAAAAAAAAAGAAACTTGATTCATCAATATTACAATAACATATAAGGAAAACTACAGCATGAATTGAATACAATCCAAAGAAAATTCCTAACACCTTATAATAGGACATCTGGTTCAGCACTATATGCAAATTGTAAACAGAATTCTCAAAAAGCATACTTTTTTTTTTTTTTTTTTGGTTTTTATGAGACAGGGTTTCTCTGTATTGTTTTGGAGGCTGTCGGTCCAGCCCAGCCTCGAACTCACAGAGATCCGCCTGCCTCTGCCTCCCGAGTGCTGGGATTAAAGGTGTGAGCCACCACCGCCCGGCTGTTGAATCAAGTTTCTAATGATTATTTATTTAAAAAAAAAATTTAGCCAACATAAATAGTATCTTAAACCAGAAAAATTTAATGTTCAAAATTTTTTATAAACAGTTTCACTTGAGATAAACATTTTAAAGTACAAGTTATTTGCTATTAATGTTCAGGTGAGTTAATCTAAAATATGCAGAGCTAGTATTTTATGTGCATGTTATAGTTTATACCATACAAAACTTTTATTGTGAGATTTGATGGACAGCTTTTAGTGACTAAAGAAGCTTTTGGGTTGGGTGTGTTGTGTTCCATATACTTAGCTGCTTGGGAAGCTGAAGATGATGGTTTTTGTTAGCTCAAGAGCTCAAGTCCAGCCTGGGCAACACAGGAAGACTCCTAGAATAGAATAAAGTAAATCAGCTGATTCATACATATACATACCTACACAGCTTCTAAACATGATTTTGCGTGTCTCTATGTACGTATGTATATGTGTGCCCATTATTCCTTAATATTTGGTATTTAACATTAAGTTACTTGTTTGGCCAAGACCAGATTTTATTTATTTTTCAGTAAAAAGTTATTCTTGTTTTTGAGCAGCTGTGTAATTTGTATACCTGGCAAGTTTCCACAACTTTGCCCATGTTCAGGGAAGTAATAATTGGCAAATACTGAGTCCAGTCTTACGCAAAATCATTGAAAATTTCATCTTTTTCAGAGGAGTAAATGAGGCTCTTACCATCATGACTTTATGATATAAAATATTAAAGTTTCAAAGAAAAACCAAAGTTCTGAAGCTGATCCAGAGTGAAATAGATAGAAGGAAAAGATCAATTCTTCCTTAAAGTGAGAAATTACCTAAACTTGGAATTTAATTTATTCAATGTGTGATTCTGCTAATTAAACCTACAAACTATTAGGGAAAATAAATAGTTATTTGTACCTGTGTGGGATAATGAAAATATTTCACCTAAACATCACTAATAAGTCTGCTGTAATACCATCTTTGAAAAATTATATAACCTCAATAAAGAATAACTAGGGAAGATAGAAAACAAAAGTCAAGTGGAAGGATGTAACAAAAATGACGGTTTATCTGGGTTTTATATTATGGAATTTTTGGTTTTCTGTTTTCTATAATATTTGCATCAAATGTAACTGTCAAGAAGAAAACCAGGCCGGGCAGTGGTGGCGCACACCTTTAATCCCAGCACTCGGGAGGCAGAGGCAGGTGGATCTCTGTGAGTTCGAGGCTGGGCTGGACCGATAGCCTCCAAAACAATACAGAGAAACCCTGTCTCGTAAAAACAAAAAAAAAAAGAAGAAAACTACCTTAAAATGAACAAACTTTAGCCAGGCCTGGTGATGGATGCTGGGAGGCAGAGACAGGAGAATCCGAAATTCAAGGTTATCATCAGCTACATAGCAATATCAAAGCCAACTATAAGACCCTTTCTCTAAAGTAGTTATAAGAGAAAAAAAAGCACACATTCAAATTGACTTAAAATTGTATGTTTCGTGATATACATTTTTAAGTTTAAGTTAACATTCATACTGTGAACATGGCAAAAATATTAATTTATTTAAAACTCTTTATGTCCATCAATATGCTAGTTCCCAAAACATGGATACTGTCGGCTCTTGTATATTGAAGAAGCAGGTACAGAGAACATAAGGTGAACTGAGTTGGCTATTAGTTGTTTGAAGCTGAGTGATATATACATGTGAGTTCACCATACTTTTCTCTTAACTTTTTAACACAAAAAGTTTATAGAAATACAGACAGTTGGTAGCATTTGTTTTGAGTAGGAAATAAGCACTCTCCCCTGTCATTGCATTAGTTGAGAACATTGAGTTCAGTAAGTTTCAGCTGGTGGAAAAGGGGAAGTTCCATGACTGTTACCAACTAATAAATTGAGCTAAAGAGAAGATAGATGTGTGTACTTAGGTCAAGGTCTGTACCTTTGATAGCAGTTCACACTGAAATCTGTAATGTATGTCTATTGTTATTTGCAACATTTTTTTTGTAGTAGTGAAAAGGTTGAAAAATATGTGATAATACTGTAACTGTGTGTACTGATAAGAAAGGCCTTTAACAAAGACTGCTCCATAAAGAAAGCCAATCTCACTTCTGAGCAATACACTGAGAAATAACTTCAGCTGAGTACTTTGTGTGTTATGTTCCCAGTATCTGCTAGCTCTTATAAAGATGTCAGTCAGCAAGCTCCAAGTTGTTAACTGAGATGGCATATTAATAGTGAAATGTTACCTGAGCTTTCTTTTTGGAGCTATTCTGACAAAATTGTTGGAGTTTGCTTTTATGCCTTTTATATAAATAGTAGCTATAGAAAAATGAGATGGCTACTCACAAAAATAGTTTTTATTTTAATTTTTTTATTTAAATTAGAAACAAGCTTGCTTCACATGTTAATCCCAGCTCCCTCTCCCTCCCCTCCTGCCCGGCCTCCCCACAACCCCCTCCCCAGCCCCCTACCCAGTCCCCACTCTGTTCCCCACATATATCTCTGTATTAGATTAAATCTGTAACCAGGTTTTCCTGTATAACTCAGGTAAAGATTGTTTCAGGCTCATGATCCTACTGTCTCCGTCTCTGGAGGCCTAAAGTCACAGGTCTATATGAACATGCCATTCTATACCTTGTTCATTAATGTGCTTTAGAATGTATTGTGCATAGCGAGGGATAGGAATTCAACCAGTTTTCCTTTTTCTAGATTGTGGCTTATGGGAGTTTCTAGTGATTAAATTTAGGGTCTTCCATCAGGTATTCAAGGATCTCATTGAGCTACTTTCCTAGCCTGTATTAACATTTCTTTTCTTTTTTCTCTCTCTCTCTCTCTCTTTTTTTTTTTTTTGACAACATCTTGCTTTGTTAACTTACTTGGCTTTTCTTCTAAATGCTAATGTTATCTTCCCCCAGAGACTGTAGGGTATGTAAAATTTATCCATAAAATGTTTTCTCAGTCCATAGCTACTAATTTATTTAAGCTCTTGTTTTCTTCTCATCAAAATTACTCAGTGAAGATAATGTGTGTTGTTTTGTTCCCATTACATAGCATTGTACCAAATACAGGGTGTATCCTCAGTGTATCCTGCCGGGTAGATGTAATGAATTAAACTTATGAGAGACCTTTTAAAAACAAGTTCAAATAAAAAAACTGGGCACTGGAGAGATGGCTCAGCATTTAGGAGCATATTCTGTGCTGCTCTTGCAAAAGGGTGAGGTTTGTTTCTCAATACCCATGTGGCGGTTTACAACTGTTTGTCACTCCAGTTCCAGAAGACCTGACACCCTCTTCCGACCTTTGCAGACACCAGAAGTACATACAGCACACGTAAATATATTCAGTTAAACACTCACACACATGAAATGAAAATTAATAAATTTTAAGAAATGTTAACTCTACTCCTAAAAATAATTAGATTAACAACATTCATTATCCCTTTACTATCCTTAGTAAGTTGCGTATCTTAGAATCTTCAGATCATTTTGTTTCTGTCCTTTCACATTGTTCACATCTTTCTAGGGCTTCCTAACCCTCATCCCTCAACTCGGACTCACTATAATACCATGCTTTTGATCTGATTCCTGGGAGACAAAAGTTCATTTAGTTCAATTTGAGTTCCTAATTCCTTGGAAATTGGAAGTCAGTTTATACACTGAACAAGGCTGAAGAATCAGTGATTTATTTTCATAGGAAAATTATAAAGAGGAGGTATTACGAAATTGGTTTATGTAAAAAGTGCTTGTTTTGGAATGAAAAAAGATACTTAGTATAAAGCGATAGCAAATGCCAGCTACTGTTCATGAAGTTAAAGGAAAATTGACTATTTTTGCTATAGTTGACTGCCATAAAACCATTTTTTTTACAGTTTTAGGTAGAATTTTCTTCACTTGCACATACAATAATTTCATTAAAATATTTATTGATCCGATCCCTAACTGCATTCTCATAATTTTTTCTTTACGTGGGTTAGCATGTGCTAAAGTCAAATCTCTTATGAAATTTGCATCAGCATCTGGACATGAAGAGCCTAGTTGAAATAATTTTAATAATTTTTCCCTCTCTTCCCATCAAGGATTCTGGTCTCTGCTGACACTATCTCTAACCGCTGGATTCTCCTGTTGCAGCTTCTCTTGGACAGTGACTTACTTTGATTCTTTTGAACCAGGAATGTTTCCGCCCACTCCTCTTTCACCTGCTAGGTTCAAGTAAGTGCTTCTGGGTCTGTTTCTTTATTTTGTTTGAGGTGTTGGGTATATGTGTGTGTGTGTGTGTAAGAGAGAGACAGAGAGAGGAGAGAGAGAGCAGAGAGATTCTGAGTTCTTTTAAACACACTAAATTAAGAATAAACTGGGATATGTTGAAGCTCTAGATTTCAGTATTAAAAAAAAATAACAAAATTTTTCAGCATCTAAGCCTCACCTTTAGGTAATTGGGGAATAATATTTTATATTCCCTATATAAATAGTATAATTTTTTAAAATATTGAAAATCATATTTGTATACCTATAGATATGCATTTGATGTGGATAAATATTTAATTCATAATTAAATATTCTAATAGTTACACCTAAGATTGGAATGCCATACTGTAGACTACTTGGCAGTATTTAGTCAGAAAGCTTATTTAGCTAAGACATAAAAAGAGTTCAAATTTATATTTTTTTGCTGCCCAGTAACACCAGTACTAGACATTGTAAATCTTGTGTAATATGCGACTTCTTCCCTGATTGCTAGTCCTGTATTTCCAGCTGTTTTGGTAATTAGAGTTTTGAGGATTAAAGAGTTTTAGTGTTCTCCTAAAGATCTATTAACTAATTGTATTGTATTACGTCCTAATAAGTTAATCTTTTTATTAAATTGTAAGTATAAATAAGAACCTTATTGTCAAATGTTTATTAGTCATTAAAATGATAGTTTTGAATCACATACTTTGTGTACTTGGTACTCTAATCTTAAAAAGTTTTAAAACACTTATAAAATATATTTTAATATGCTGTGTTTATGGTAATTTATACAAGTAAATAGAAATTTTAAAATACAAAATTATGTTTATTCAAATAAAATTTAGGTATGCATTTAAGTACACACAAACACAAAGAGATACGGTTTGAAAAATGAAAATATCGCCCTCTAGTGTTCGTGAAAATAAACAATCACTTCACAAAGTCTAAGTATATATTCTCTGTGTAACCAGTAGAGTGAGTCCTTGCACAGGAAAATACTATTATGAAAATATTAAAATCTTTAGACTGTTTACTTCGAAATCAGATATATTTCCCTAATGTATAATTTAATGATTAATGAAAATAACCTTATACTATGTTATGTTACCTTACTACATAAAAGGTTAATATAAGCATGTTTCTTGCTTGCTTAAAAATAATTTTGATTCTTTGTTGAAAGATACTAAAATGGCCTTGTGGATATATCCTCAGTTGCTAGCATGCTTGCTTAGTGTGCATGCGGCCCTGGGTTCCACACCTTGGCACTGAACAGTATATAGTGGTACATGTGTGTAATCCCAACTAGTTCAAGGCCATTCTTGGACTACATAGCAGATTTGAAGCCACTGTGGGATACATGAGACCTTGTCTTAAAAAGAGACAAATACAAGTGTGTGTATGTGTGTGTAGATAATGGAAATAACCTATGAAAATTACTATCATTTTAATGGTATGCTTTTCCATTCTTTATGTTCTTTATGGATATTTTAGAAATGGGTGTTGGGATCACCATGTATATACTATTTTTCATGATAGTCAAAATTCATAAATGTAATTGTTTTATTTAGTCTTGAGACTCTACAAAATAAACAGATTTTAGTAACAGAATAACTTTAATACAAGACAATAATTTCAAGGGAAGAAAAATCAAGACTATTTTTTATGACTTGCATTTTACTGAAACAAAATTCTCAGTGAAATAAAATAATATTTCTTGCTATTTAGTAAATAAGAGGTGAAACATTTAATGAAATTAGCAATCTGAATGAATGACTAGTTTAGATTGATACTAAAAATGAGATACTTTCCTTGTCACTTATTTTTATTTAACAAAACTTTGATTACATTGTATTGAATTGTGTGTGCATGTGCTGTTGCTACATGTACAATGTGTGAAGGCGAGAGGACAGCTTAGGAGTCAGTTCTGGCCTTCCACCATGTGGGTTCTAGGATTGAATTCAGGTCTTCCAGGCTTGGCCAAAAGCATGTTTACCTGCAGAGCTAGCTTGCCTTCCACTAATAAAGCTTTGTAATTAGCTAAGTTTACAAATGCATGGAATCATCTTCCTGTCAAAGGTCCATCAAGTTCCTTTTTAAAAATGTACCTTTATCTTTTTAACAGTGTTTATGCAAAAATGAAAATTTTGCTTTAATATACTTCTAAAATAATTGTATGGAGGACTATGTCTTGGAATTTGCATTGTTAAAGACCAAAACAGAAGTTTGGATTTCTTGAAGTATCTACTATTCCTTAGTTGTCATTAGGTTATCATTTACTACAACATATTCCACCAACCCCCACCCTGCGGTGTCTCATCAATATCTCCAATTCACATCCCTCATTCTTTGGGTCTTATGAGTGGGTTCTAAACAGGCAAATAAAATACATGCATAGTGATTACATCGTGTCTTGGTATCAACATAAGGCACCTATCCACACAAAATTACTATATGCAAAGAGAACCTAAACCTTTAAGGTATCTTGAGGTTCATCCTAGGATAGACCAGTGGCATAATCATCGATTTTATTTAAGTTTTTGTGATTGGAGAAATTATATCTACCTTGAACTTGAATTTTTTCTAAAAGTACAACTTTTAAATTAGTGCTTTAGTACAAGAGATGTCTTATGGATTCCAAATAAAGATCATAAAGGAGCCAAGTCTCTAAACCACCCTGAGGTTTTATCATTGGTATTGTTCTTCCACTTTATACCATGAAGAAACCAAGTCCCAAGAAGTGAAGCAACTTGCACAATCAGATTATTTACCTGTAGCATAATGCATTTGACTAATTTTGGTTTGCCTCATTAACTCACTGATGTCTACATTATAAAATAAACTAACAGTAGAAGTTTTACTAATTGTTACTTTGTTGACAACTAACTCTGAGGTTTTAGAATATGGCAAGTTTTGCCTCTGCAGTGTTGCTAAATAGAGTAACAACTTTTTTTAAACATCTATCCTCATCTTAATTGTTTTCTCCAAGTCAGTGACACTTTCTAATTTAAACTGCACACATTTTACATTACCTCTATGCAGGCACCATCTAGTGGTAAATGGTCTGTCTATAGGCTTGCAATTATTTCATGTGCTAAAAATAAAACCATTTACTACTGAAACTCTCACCTATAACACAAATATTACTTTGTTGGCCAGTAATACATTTAGTGGAAATTTGAAAAAAAAAATCTTGTTGCTAACTTGAAAAAATGTCCACTGTTTAGGTCAGAAGTCAGGTTGAACAGTTTACATTCCTATAACCTTTGCAGGGTTATAAAACCAAAATATCCTAGGCACTCCAAAGTAACTCATTTCTGTTTTATTGGTATTAAAGTTAATTTGTGTGACATAGGTCTGGTGAACTTCCGCAGTTAATTACATCAAGTATTGTGAAAGGAGTTACAAGTTATACTAAGAAACCATTTTTTTATTCTTCTTCCAGTGCTGGGCATTGAAGCTAGAACTATATTCCCAGCTGTAAGAAGTACTTACAATAACAATAACTTATTGTTATTATTTTATACTGTGAATATACATTTTCAAATTAAAAAAAAGTTTATACTTATAAGAATAGAACCCAGCCGGGTGGTGGTGGTGCATGACTTTAATCCCAGCACTGAGGAGGCAGAGGCAGGAGTTCGAGGAGAACTCTGTGAGTTCGAGGCCAACCTGGTCTACAGAGTGAGTTCCCAGGACAGACTCCAAAGCCACAGAGAAACTGTCTTGAAAAACCGAAGGAAAAAAAAAGGAAGTCTATTATGAGTCCTGCTAGAGATTCCTAAATTTCAAACTGATCAAAGATTATATAGCTTTAGCTAGCAAGATGGCTCATCAAGTAAAGGTTCTTACTGCCAAGCCTCGTGACCTGAGTTTGATCCTCTGGAAGGAGAGAATAGGCTCTGACAGGTTGTCCTCTACCTTCAGTTTTAATACCTCTCCCCAACTAAATAAGCATACTATAAAGAATTTAAGATTTCTGGTGTAATATGTATTTGCATCTAAAGCTTAGATTGTTGAACAACTTAAAAAAAACTGATTTTAAATAAATTTCCTGCTTTAGTTGAGTAACACTGAAGAAATGACACACTGTAGTCAATAATATTGCAGGTGTGGAGACTACTTCAGTTATACCTTCTACAATAGTAACTCAACGTGAGTCTCACAACTAACAATGAGCCAAACTGAGGCTAACTTGTTTTTAAGAATTATCTAGTATGTGCAAGACTAAGGCAGGAGGCCTGCTATGAGAGTTCAGTTAGCCTGGGCTATACAGCGAGTTCTAGGGGATCCTGGAACTAAAGATCCTGTCTCTAAAAATAAATTATTTGCTTCTTATGTGGTTTAATAACCTTGAATATCTTTGTTTACAATATGAACATTTGTTTAAAGAGAAAGAATTACAGGGTCTGGAGAGATGGTTCAATGGTTAAGAGCATCGACTATTCTCCCAGAGGACCTGGGTTCAATTCCCCGTACCTACATAGCAGCTCACAACTGTCCAGGGGACCCGACACCTTCGAATAGACATACATGCAGGCAAAACACCAGTGCACATGAAATAAAAATAAATTACTTTAAAAAGAAAAAAATTACAGTGGGAACAGGGGCTGTCTCCTACTCTCTTACTGGTTTATGTTACCCTATTCATAGTGGGTTGCCTTGCCCGGCCTTAATACTTGGGGAGGTGCTTACTTGGTCTTGCTGCAATTTGAAGAGGGGGTGAGTAGTTGGGGGTCTTGAAAGAGGGGTGGCAGGGGAAACTGACTGGGATGTAAAATAAATAGCCTTATTTTTATGAAAAGAAAGAAAAAGACTTATTTTAAAAGTTCCTAGAATTTTTTTTTCTTTTCTTTTTCTTTTCTTTTTTTTTTTTGGTTTTTCGAGACAGGGTTTCTTTGTATTGTTTTGGAGGCTGTCCTGGAACTTGCTCTGTAGACCAGGCCGGCATCGAACTCACAGAGGTCTGCCTGCCTCTGCCTCCCGAGTGCTGCCTCAAAGCCCACCACCAGTGACAGACTTCCTCCAACAAAGCCACACCTACTCCAACAAGGCTGCACCTCCAATAATGCCACTCCCTGTGAGTATCTGGGGGCCATTTTCATCCAAACCACCACGACAATATTTATAAATTATGAGGAAGTGTCTTAAATTTAGAGGGGTGCTTTTAAATGTAGACTATGCTGCTTATCCCAAAAGAATTATTAATCTAGTCAATCAATAACTAATATAGTTGACCAGTTAAATAAACAGATAAGGGCTAAGGAGATTGATTGTTCAATAAGGAAAAGTGTTTGCTGTTTTTTCAGAGGATCAGTGGTCCATTCCCAGCACTCAGAACTAGTTGCTCACAACTGCCTATAACTCCAGCTCTAGGCAATCCAATCCCCTTTTCTGAACTCTGCATGCACCCATACACATGTGCACATACCACTCCCCCTGCAAGACACACAAACACATAAATAATAAAATCTCTCTTTTTAAGCAATAGGTAATGTTATAGGCAAAGCATGAATGGTGCCTAAATATATAAAAGGGTATATAGAAATAACTCATGGCATAAATAGGAAGAGAGAAAAAGGTAGTTCAGATAGTCTAAAAAAGTAGATTAGTACTAACTAGTTCATCCTCTTCCCTGCTGAACCATTAGGTAAGAAATAAATTACCAGTTTATAATACAAAGCATAACCACATATATGTTTATAGGCTTATGGCTGTATTGTTCTCTAGTCTACCTCCAGGACCTTTCCCCACTGATCACCAAATTAGAAAATGCCTTTCAAGGAGGTGTTTCCTTAGCCGAACGTGCCTTCCTCTCTGATGCCTCTAACTTTTGTCAGGTTGACACACACAACCAGCCAATACAGTAAGCTTATCATGCAACAGATATGTAGTCCTTACAGCAACTTTGTAAGAGTAAACTTGTCATCAGTTTTATAGAAGAAATTAAAGTCCAAAGAGATCATCAACTTTTCTACCTTTATACCCCTTGTAAGAGGTACTCAAATCCATGTCGAACTCTAGACCTTGACTAGTGGGAATCACATGGGCACTTCATTGCATGCATCTGTATTGTTGGAAAAGATTTTGAAACTAGACTAGATGGTTTCCTTTGTACAACTCATCTTCTAACATGGCTGTTGTCTTATTGTAATGAACCTTTCAGCCACTTTATTCTTATTGAACAGCATTTCCCACTTATTTCCATTTTGATTTCAGAAATGTAGTGGAAAATATATTTAAGCCTAATAGAATCTTCATTTAGAGTCCTTCTGTCATTAAATTGTCTATTATGCCTCATTATATGGTCAAATGAACCATCATTTTAAGGTTTTTAATCCGTAAATTAACTTATTCAATAATTTTTATTTTATTATTGGATTTCCTTGATTGACTCTTTGGGAATAAAATATTTATGTAGTTACAGTCTCTACAACAACATCGTTTCACTCTAAGTACAGATATTGGTAAGTAACCTCTTAATTGGTCGGGGGGAAAAATCTATACATAAGTATGTAATCCCTTTAAAGTATTCTGTCTGAAGTAGTCATAGAAATTGCAATTAGAAGCAATCTGATATTCCTATAGTCCTGTCTTCTACTTGATAACTTCAGTCATTTTTAAAATTTTATCTACATTTTTCCAAACAATGTATTTTGATCTTTTTCACTACACCCTCCCAAACAATTCCCAGATCCTCCCCTGTACCCTACCATCCAACAACTTCTTAGCATTCTTTATCTAACAAAACTACTTTAAAAAATAAGAAAAAAAGTTCAGGGAAAACATGGAGTCCGTTTTGTGTTGGCCAACTACTCCTTATCTTACGGGGTCTTTCCTGGAGTGCGGTCACTACACCCAATGTCTTAGTTACGTTTTTACTGCTATAATGAAACAAAAGCAACTTAAGGAGTTGTGGTAGCAGTTGTTGACTGTCAACATGACACATCTGGAATTAACTGAAACTCAAGTGAATGGGTTCACCCTTAAGAGATTTTTTTTTCTTAATTAAATTACTTGAAGTGGGAAGATCCACCTTTAATTTGGACCATATTTTCTGTAGGCAGCCTATATAAAGGACACAGAAGAAGGAAGCTTGCTATCCTTTTGCATGTTTGTTCTTGCTCTCCCTGGTAAACTCCTTCCTTCATAGCATTAGAGCTTACTTTCTTGGGATTCTTGCATATCCAGAAGACCAGCTGAAACATCCAGCCTCTTGAACAGAACAACTATGGGATTTTACTTTATTTTATTTTCTTTATTTTTATGCCATGTACATTGGTGTTTTTGCCTGCGTGTATGTCTCTATAAGGGTGTTGGGTCCCTTGGAATTAAAGTTGCAGACAGGTGTAAGCTGCCATGTTTGTGCTGGGGATTGTACCTGGGTCCTCTGGATAAACTGTCAGTGCTCTTAACTACTAAGCCATCTCTCCAGCCCCCAACTACTGGAGTTTTGGAACTTTTTTTAAAATTTTAAACCTTGCCATACCTTTTTATGTTTTTTTTGTTGTTTGTTTGTTTGTTTATGTCTTACATTCCAATTCCAGTTCCCCTCCCTCCTCTCCTCCAACTCCCCCCCACTCACCCCTCGTTCCTTATCCCATCTGCTCCTCAAAGAGGGTAAGGCCTCCCCTAGGAAATCTAGTAAGTCTGTCCCATCATTGCATTGAGGCAGGACCAAGGCTCTTCTCTATGCCCACACCCCTGGTAAATCTTGCCATGTCTTTTAAGTTTCACAAGTCAAAACTTGTATCATTAAGGAAAATGATTTTTTTCCTTTTTCATTTCTTTGAGAACTAGGGATTTAGCTTAGTTCTTGGCGTGCTTGCTTATCCTGCATGAGACCTTAGGTTTAAATGCCAGCACTGGTTGTGTAATCTGGTTATGGTGGTGCACTGTGAGGTAGAGGTACAAGAATCAGATCCAAGTTATCACTGTGTACCTACTGGAGGCCAGGATTCAGGTAGGGGACTTTCGTCCTCCTTTCTGCCCTCTTTTCCAGTCCCTCCAGACTAACATAGTCCTGCTGCAGTATGCCTGTTCCCCTCCTCCCAACCCATCTCCATTTCCTTGGTACTCCACATCTTGATGAAGACCCAGGACACTTACCCCGTTCTCTCTGACATCCCTTTCAGTCTCTCCTTGTAGCGTAGCTCCATTCTTTTGTGACTCACTCCAGACCTGTAGAATAGCTCTCTACCAGGGAACCTACAACTGCCACATGTGGCTGGGACTCAGTGTCCCCACAGCCAGCCAGCCAACCACCGCTTGGCCTTCTGGCACTACTTCATCCGTTTATTTTTGTGTGTATATTTAGTTGTGTGTGTAGTTGGAATTTTGTGAAGTACTTGATGTTTCCTTGCTGCCATTTAGATACTTGTTGGAAACCACTGCAGTTAAATAACCCTATTAGGTTGAAAGCTGAAATTTATGTTAAAGTCTAACCCCCTCACATAGGCTCAAGGAATAGCTTCTTTCTTATATTTTTGGTTGTGAGCCTAGCCTTTAACGGCTGAGCCATCTCTCCAGCCCACTTCTTTCTATAACTGGAAAAAAAAATGGTATGAACAGGCTAAATACTTGGCATAAGTGTTTTAAGTTAGATCGATCTAACAAAGAATGAGAACAGGGAAAAGCAGTGCTATTTAATGCAAGACTTGTTTGTAATATAACAGATTATGTTATTGTTACACACAGTGGAAAAGCATTTAAACAAAAAGCCTGAGGTTCAGTTCAGCACTTTGTGCTAATAAAATTATATTTGATAACCAGGAAACAGTTTTGCTTGTTGGTTTTGTTTTTAAAATGTGTGTGTGTGTGTGTGTGTGTGTACGCGTGCATGTGCCATCTGTGCCTTTGTTCAGGTGCCCGTGGATGCTAGCATATAGGATCCCCTGGAGTTGGTGTTATAGGCAATAGTTAGCAACCCAATGTGGGCAGTTCACTGAAAGAGCAGGAAGTACTCTTAACCACTGAGTCATCTCTTCAGTCCCCAGGAGGGGTTTTGAAAAAGAATTTAAGATTGGTTATCCTGTATTAATTGTGCGAGTGTCCAGTATTTTTTAACTTATACATTAATGTGTAAACCTTAGAAAAACTCACTATGGTGTCTTAATCATTTTTAGTAAGATTTTTACTACTTTTGTCATACCAAATTACATGCGTTTTGTAGTTTTGATTTGTGTTTCTTCTTTTTCTCTAGGAAATTGACTGGGCATTCTTTCCACATGGGCTATAGCATGGCAATTTTGAATGGCATTGTAGCTGCTCTTACTGTGGCTTGGTGCCTCATGTAAACCCACAATAGAGAAATACTGTTGGTGAAAGTCCTGATTGTTTTATTAACAACAGAAATGAACGTTGCCTACTCAGAAGACTATGAAATATGATTTGGATTCATACCATCGTCATCATATGGAAGACCTTATAGAGCATCATTTCAGAAGCTAGGCAATGGAAATATTTGAGTACTTTCAAATACTTTCTTAAAAGTGTAAGATGTTTACCTCATCTTTTTACTTTTGTTTATGTAGTTCTTATCAGTTACAGAAAATATTTTAATGTAAATCAAACTTGGAAACTAGAATACAGGATAATGCCTACCTTTCTATGTATACTCCCAGTTTTTGGTAACAAATGTTGATATTACTGCTTTGAGATAAAAGTATTTCTTCTTTCTATATTGCATTAAGAAAACGATGCTGGCCTGCTGAACCAGGTTTTGTGGGTTGGAAGCCAGCTTGTAGCTCTACAAGTGAGACCAGTTCAAGAAAAAGAAGAAAGAAAACAAAGCCTTTTACTTTTTAACATTTTATAGAAACTACATCAGAATTTTTGATAATAAATAAAACGCAAATGTGCACCTATATTTTTTATGGAGTATACTTAGGGGTTTTATATATTCATGATACTAAATTTGTGTTTTTAAAATGATTATATTTATATCTATATAGGGGCAAATTTTATTTCTTAGCTAGTATAAACTTGTCCATTAAAGCACATTGATTTGAGTTTAAGATTAATTAAATTTATTTTTTAACAAAAGGATACTGAAAATTCAGGGTAAGTTATTTGTCATAATGTTAAGAAATTTGAGACTGTTAGCCATTTCTATTTTCCACAATTGAAAATATTTATTTTGATGTGTATATATCAGGGCAGCAAAACTTGTACTATTTTGTTTTTTAGTAAATGAAAACCTGAATGTTTTTTATGTAGAAATGTTTGAATTTTGTAATTTTTAATCTCAAGAATATAGTTGCCAAAGTAGAAAAGGTATTTTGATATTCTGAATATGTATATATAATTGAACTTTAATATGTATGTTGTAATATATGTAGCTTTATAACTTCTGCTTAAATATTTTGTCATGTCAAGATTTTTTTATTGTTTTCATAGTAATTAAACCTTAACTGTTTCTCTGTCTTGCTCAGCATTCCAAGAGTTTAGAAAGTCACTTCAATTTTAGAAAGTTGGATGATTTACACAGTTCGTTTTCCTGGCTGTAGACAAACTTAGTTTAGGAAACCATTGTGTATTCTAAGTGGGAAATGAGTGTGTGTAGTGCATTTGCAGTCCTCTGATGAATGTCGGGTTCTAAAAGTCTGACATTTTCTCTATATTCATAAAATGAAAAGAAAAAAGTCATTTCCATTTAATTGGAAATGTCTCATTCTAATTTAAAATGAGAGATGAAGAGGGATATATATATATATAGTCTTACTGAATCCCAATCCCATGGCTTAAGTATTCCATCAGTTATGGTTGGTTTTTTTATTGGCTCTTTCTCATATAATATATTTTGACCTTATTCTTTTCACCCAACTCTTTCTAGATCCTCACTACATCCCTACCTATCCACTGTCCAATAGCATGTTCCTTCCATCTTGGGGGAAAAAGAAATATGTTTGATTGTTTATTCTCAGTCCTCTTATCTCCTTTCTTCTACCTTTGCTTCAAAAGGATTCTCTTATTCTAAAGTTCCATTCAAATTGTGGTATTACTTTATCTCCTCTCTACCTGTGTAAAATGCCATCCCCATCATCACCCCAATTTAAATGGCTCCTTCCAAAGTCTTTGTGTGTAATGACTAAGATTAAAGTTATTATAGTCAATTATTCATACACAAGGTAGCCTCATTTATAATGTAGATAAACAGGACATATAATATACTATTTCTTTAGAACACTCTTTCTTATAGACTAGTAGTCTTTGGAAAATGCTCTTCCCATTCTCTGTACCTAAGGTTGGATTTCAGTGTAAACTTTGTATGATGAAAGTGACTGTCTAAACTTAGACCGTGTTCTCTTCTGACCACAATGATTACAATTAGAGGGAACTGATTCAAATCAGCTAATTTCTAGATTCTTTCAGTTTGAGACAAAGATAAACTAAGAGACCGGATTGCTAGCAGTCATGTGAACCAAGCTTAGTAGAAAAGGATAAAGGTAAAATGAATACTTCTATTGATATTCTCCTGGTTCCTGAAACCTGGTGACAACCTGCTATTCTTGAATGTTGGTTACATTTTGGTAACACAACCAAATGTGTTTTGATACATTTGTTTCTGCTGCTTACATGGGCTTTTGTCATTTGTACAAGAAAGTCAAGATGAAGTCACCTAGCAGTTAGAATGATCCATTTCTATTAGTAATGTCAGATTATCATGGGATGCTTGAAATATTATATTACTTATTTGTGAAGTATACATGGGTATGATTGTGCCTAAGGCTGATGATTAGTCTCAATGATTTCAAAGGAGCTTTAGAATAAAACTAGGTCCTTGGTGTTTCATCAGGAATTTTGCCCCAATTGAGCTAGACATCCTTTAAACACTACCACAATTTTGCACTACCAAAACATTAGTTTCTAGTTATGTAAGTGTAAAGGAAGGGTTTTTCCCCCTATTGGCCAGTTCCCAAATGAACACTCAGAGGCTTAATATTAATTATAATTGTTTGACCAATGGCTCAATTAACACATTTCTATTATTCTATATTTTACCAAGAAGATCATAGCTTATTACCTTACACATTTTGTTAATCCAGCAACTCCATGGTATCTTCCCCAACTCTGCCTTCTTTTCTCCCTGTCTGTTAGGATTTCCCACCTGGCTCTGTTCTGCCTGGCCATTGGCCAAAACAGCTTTATTCATCAACCAATAAAAGCCGCACACATTTGCAGTATACAGAAAGACATCTCACATCATATAAGCTTTAAATCTGATATTTGATATCATTGTTTCCCAGTTTCTTTACCTGCTAAATGGAAAAAATACTAAGCCACTGAAAACAGTGCAATAATGTTTGTAGGACCTTGATAAGACAATGTAATTTACAGTTCCAAATGTATTTGAACTAATAATGGTTTTTTTTAAAGATAAGATTCTAGTTAATCATATTTAAAGGTTTTCTCAGTGTTTTTTTTTTTACATTTGTGTTAACTTTCTTGACATACTAATTAGGATCATATGTCCCAAGTAACAAACCATTTAAGGAAAAGAAAATTTACATATCTAGTTGGCCAGGACCACAGAAAATGTTCAAAGGTAAAGGAAAAATCACACAAATTGCCAAACACAATGTGTTTACTGTCACATGGATGCAAGCCTAATAACCTCAAGCAGAAGATAACATGAACCAAGCTTTGAAAAGGGAAGCAAAGGCCGTTAAAAACACATTTAATGTTTTGTTGTGTGTGCCAACTTCCCCAGTCAGTTTGTGCTGTGTGTTTGGAAGCCCTGAATGTGATGCTGTTGCTGTTATTCAGAAGTCTTACTGGAGGGAACATGATAGTCTGTTCAGAACTTGAAATGACTGCCTCAACATGCTTCTCCAGTCAATTTCTTCTGGATGTTTTGAGCATCTGATTTATATATCTCACATTTTATACTTTTTCTTTTGCTTGCCAATATACTTAAACTTTCCATTCAAAACCAGAAGTGTGACTATCATAGATCATCTCCTTACCATACAGAACTTCCTTGAGCTTCCTGGTCCTTCTGTTTGCTGCTGAATAAATTGTAACAAGACACATGAATGTAAAGCTTATTACAGAGTAGTAGGAGATGAGAGCAGATGGTGGACAAAGGGAACACTGCAGAGGAAAAACTCATGTCTGGAGTATAGTTTTTCTTAGGGGTCCAGGTGATAGTCCCATTTAGGTTTATTTAGAAATATATAAACATACTTTATATATTGTATATTATTATAAGTTTATAAATATATCTAAGTATAGAAAACCATATACAAGAGTATTATATCTAGGTATATATAGATACAACCTGCTCAGTCTGTTACTTGTATGTATGATTTCAGAACTGACCATTTGGTATTGGATAAACAATGATGTGTTCTCCCTTCAGGAGACTATTTCTCCTGCTCAGCATTCCTTAGTTGCCTGTGGATTTTTGTAGGGTGAGGCCTACATTCACTTTTACATGCTTATTTTTGTTGTCCTTGGTTAGCCCATGTTTAGCTTGTCGTGTTGGTGCAAGTTTATGGATATAAGTTCTGACATTGCTAGGAGATGCAGCCTCACAACAAATTCCCTGATCTGACTTTTACAGTTTGTGTCCCCTCTTCCACAAAGCTCCATGTACCTTAGATCTGGGAATTATTTTGTGGAAGTATCCATTGAGGCTGGTCTGCACAGCTTTGCACTTTGATTGGTAGTAGTTTTCTGTAGTGATCTGTGTGTTACAAAGAGACGGTTCATTTGCTGGGGAAAAGTACTACACTTATTTATGATTAGAAAGACATGTAATTAAAATGTTGTTAGGGGTTATACTGTTTTAGTAAAGTGGCTATAGGTTCTTCAAGATCTATGACTTCACTGTCTCTGGCTACGTTTCCAGTACCAGACATGACTTCCTGCTGTTGAATGGTTTTAATCCAATTAGAGAGCTATTAGTTGCTGTCAATGTATGCGTGCCACTACTGCAGCCTGAGGGCTATTGTATCATGCTATATTTTATGGTTGATAGGTGTCATAGCTGGTTTGAACTATTGGTTGCTTCCTTTCTTTGGAAGCTTGTATGGCACCTTCTGGTACAATGGAAGTCTGCAGAAAGGAGGCATGCATACAGATCATTTCCAGCTCTGGGGCTTCTGGGCAGTCAACATAAATAGCAATAGTATTTAATGTTTGGGGAGTCTCTTAGACAACCCTCACCAACCAGTCGAAGGAGAATTTCTTATGTCTGTATTTGTTAGATGATCTTTGACTCTTCAAGTGAGTATTGTCACCCCAGATGAGAAACTTGTTTTTAAATTATGTGTAATTTATACACAGATATTTATACTATAGGATTTTGTGGGTGTGGTATATAATAGAATGATTTCTTATGACTTTCTCAGACATCTGTGATTTTTACCCTACTGTATTTATCTTCCTCTCCCATCTGCAACTAGAGCCTTCCCTCTTTTCCAGTTTCTCCAATCAGATCTTGTATTTCAATTGTATTTTAAATCCTCAGGAGAGGAGTTTGTGATACTTAATTCTTTTTACATAGAAACCCTGTTTCAAAAAAAAATCTGTACCCCAATACTCCTCTCCTGGGCTCAACACTAGGGTACACAGCCCTAGTAGCTTTACCTGACACCAGAGTAAAACACCACAAACATTCTCTCCCCCCATCCACTAATATTCCTTAAAATCTGCCCCACACCCCCTTCCTAGTGTCTATATCCTGGTCTACAACTTTACCAGAGGCCAGGCTGGATCTAGGGGCCCTTGGCCTCAAAACCCAAGAGAGGACACCCTACTGGACCTGAAGACTCACTAATCACCAGAACCATTGCCTATATAGGTCAGAATGCCAGAAAGGAAAGGAAAACCAAAGAACAAAACACCCATCCAACAAAGACAAACACAAGAATCAACACCTAGACCTGTAATCATCCCAAATTCAGATGCTAAACACCATTGTAACAACACAGTAACAGAGTGAGCAATATGGCACTACCAGAGCCCAGCTACCCTACAATAGGAAGCCCTAAACAATCAAACACAGCCGAAGCACAAGAAAACAGTCTTAAAAACTACTTTATGAAGATGATATAGGTTCTTAAAGTGGAAATGAAAACTTCCCTTAAAGATAGAGGAAAAAGCAAAATAATTAGATGCAACCAGTAAATCTCTAGAAGAATGCCAAAAAAGGCCAAGAAAAAAGAAAAGGGACTGAAACTGCAAGACTTGAAAATGGAAATAGAAGCATTATGAAGATACAAATGGAAGGAATCTTGCAAGTGAAATATCTGGGTAAACAAACAGGGATGATAGATGCAAACATTACCAACACAAGAGATGGAAGAGAGAATCTCAGGTGTTGAAAATAGAGGAAATAGATGTATCAAAGAAAATGTTACACATAAAAAATTCCTAACATACCAAACACAATAGGGATAGAGGAAGGTGAAGAAACACAGTTCAAAAAACTATATTTAACAAAATCATAGAAGAAAATTTCCCAACCTAAAGAAAGATATGCCTCCGAAGGTACAAGAAACTCACAAAACACCAAATAGATTAGATCAGAAATAATTCTCTTGGAACAAAATAGTCAAAACACTAAACATAAAACAAAAATATTAAAAGTAGCAAGGGGAAAAGGCCAAGTAACATATAAAGGCAGACCTATTAGAATCACACTCAACTTTTTAATGGAGACTCTAAAATCCATAGGACCTGAACTTAATGTCTTGCAGCTCTAAGAGACAGCAGATGCCAGACCATACTACTATACCCAGCAACTGTGAATCACTATAATGAAAACAAGATATTTCAGCCCTGCAGAAGGTACTAGAAAGAGAACTCCAACCTCAGGAAGTTAACTGCTCCCACACCCACACACAAAAAGCCAGTAGATGAACTCAACACCAGTGAAACCCAAATATGGGAAACACACACAATACCGTCAACAACAAAATAACATGAATTAACAACCATTGGCCATTAATATCCCTCAATAACAATGGACACAAATTGCCAATAAAAAGACACAGGCTAACAGAATGGATTTGAAAACAGCATTAGTCCTTCTGTTACAAGAAACACACAGCATCAAAGGTAGACATCTCAAAAGGGTTGGAAAAGGATTTTCCAATCAAATGGACCTAACAAACAAGCTGGTGTAGCTATTCTAATATCTACCAAAATTAAAGGAGGTGTAGAAAGGCATTTCATATTCATCAAAGGAAAAATCCACCAAGATGACGTCTCAATTCAGAACATCTATGCCCCAAATATAAGGGCACCCACATTTGTAAAAGAAACATTACTAAAGCTTAAATCCCACATAGAACTTCACACAATATTAATAGGAGACAGTAACTCTCCACTCTCACAATTGGACATGTCATCCGGACAGAAACTAAACAGAGAAATAAAGGAACTAACAAGTTATAACTCAAATAGATACAGAACATTTCACCCAAACACAAAATAGCACGACTTTGCAGTACCTCATAAGACCTTATTCAAAATTGTCCTATAGTTGGCCACAAAGCAAATCTCAACAGATAAAAAAGAGATCTGAAATAACTCCCAGTATCTTAGCAGACCACCATTGATGAAA